TAGGACGGCTAGGATCTGGAACCAACTTCCAAGTGAAGTGGTGCTGGCTCCTACCCTGGGGGTCTTTAAGAACAGGCTTGATGCCTACCTGGCTGGGGTCATTTGAGCCCAATTTTCCTCCTGCCCAGGCAGGGGGTCGGACTTGAAGATCTACAAGGTCCCTTCCAACCTTACTTCTATGATTCTATGATTCTGTGAATGACTGCTGCGGAAAGGGTGGTTTCTGGGCAAATGATACTCCAGCCTACTTCTCTCCATGGAGAGGAGGGGACCTTTCATTTCTTCTCAGCCCAAAAGTGGGGGCGGGGAGGGGAAGGGGCAGGGGTCCTAGAGCTGACAGAAATGTCTTCGCTGTGTCTGCAGGTCCGGTAGAAGGACAGAGGAGTGGCAGCACAGTGGCAAGAAGCTGAGGGCACTGGGGGTCCCCTGCAGACAGGTTTGTGACATGCATGGAATTAAACTGTAGGAGATGAGGGGTTGTGTACTGAAAATTAGGATAAGAATTTTCCATTGCAATCAGCACAAGGATGTAAGACCTCTGTTATGCAGGCTAGGCATAGGAAACTGAACCTTTTCAAGAACAATTATGTATTGCCGCCCACCTTGCTGGGGTCATCTTACCCCAGTGGTCTTTCCTGTCCAAGTGCAGGGGGGCTGGACCTGATGGTCTTGTAAGGTCCCTTCCAGCCTCTAACATCTATGAATTGATGAATCTATCAATTGTGATTTCACCACTACTGTGACAGAGGAGATAAAGGATTTTTTTCAATCTAGTTACACATTTCTATAAGAAATTATGTTATATGTTATTGTCAGATGCATTTAAACTGCAGCGGATCAAAATAAATAGCACACTCAAATTTTACTTGTCAAAAGTTATGAAGCTGTGGCAATTTTTTATCTAGAAAATAAAAGGCAACAATGTTTTCTAGGAAAATGCAGGTGCTGTCTACTTCTCAAAGAGTGATTCCTATCCCCCTTATAAACAAAGGCTTTCTTTAACTTTTGTTATACACACACAGCCACAATGCACAACCCTCATCACTCATACTGGAACTTAGGCATGTGAGTAGCTGCACTAAAAGCAAGCATAAGTAGAAAAAACAGGCTTTTCTCTCAGGATTGACAAATCAGCTTCATTTATATATAAACTGCCAAGTCTTAAACAATGGAAGTTTCATCATCTTGGACTTTATGTTGCAATGTCAGATCCTGTAACTAGGCAATCCATATTACCATACAAGATATCATACCAGCTACTAATTTGTATCGCTCATCACTAGCAAAATGGTGCAAAAATATTGATCTAGTTTTACTTCTCAAACGTAGAAAGGCAAATGTACAGAAAATTGTTCCAAGAATGCAAGAAAACAAAAAGTAAGCAAATAATCTGTGTATAGAAACAGTGTTAAATATTTGCACTTGGTTATGTTTTTCCTACTACCTGAAAATGATAAATAGTCTTCTACTCTTACATCATCTATATTGAAAGGCTTTGATTTATCCAGTAATGGCAAGCTAAATTGGAATGGCAGCTGAAAACGATTCAAACTTTTCTTTTTCTAATGTCAGCAGAAATAAAAGTAACCACCCTTAACCATTTGGGGAAAACACATCACACCACCTTGTATGTCTCATCAATCTAACTGCAAAAAAATCTTTTCCAGCTGAAGCTAAGTGATTTATACAACTCAAAAATCACAAATAGTTTTAGGATGACCAAAATCTGTATTGACCTTCCCAAAATTGCTTGCGTCCAATTAAACAACCCATTCTTCAAGATGAGAATTCCTTCCACAAACACTGGTAGCAGTTCTCCATCCTTTATCCATAGCCCATGAATCTTTCATGTTATTACTTCTTCTAGAAGAAATCATTATATTAATAAATCTGAATTCTGCCTTTCAAGAGAGTCCATTTAATACAAGCTGTTATATGCCAGTTGCAGACCTAGTTTAAGGTGGTTTCATAGCCCGACATTCTCTTTTCCCTCGTGTTCCAGCAGAAACCTGAATCTAAGTTTATTTCTTTAAGATTATACATTCTGCTATAAACATCAACACTGAAAGATTTTCCCGCCAAAAAGAATTATGTTCTAATTATGTTGTAATTAGAAGCGAGTGTGTCATATTCCCAATCAGGAACTGCCATTGAAGGTCAGGAATTGCATTGTTGTGCAAGGCAGAAAAAACCCCACCACTTTCAGTTTATTCCTGCTTGGCTTTCTGATTTAACACATTCAACAGGATCCACACACTGTGTAGTCTGGGGTTTTGCACAAACATCATGCCACACCGCATCAGATGAAACCCGCTTTTCAATTCCAATAACCGCATTAGAGAACCCAATTAAAAATTCCTCTGACACTGTTAAAATGTAGCATCTTGGACAGCATAAACACAATCATGTTTTAATCTAGTTCCTGAGTCAGACAGCTGCCCTGGATTTTCCAAAGCTGTAGTCTAATTCAAGGGCCCTGTTAAAACACAATTCACTTCTGTCTACATTGCATGACCAAACAGCGCTGGGCAACTTATCTACTGAAATCAGCTCCTTCCTCCACTCCTTTTGCAATGCAGGAATAACCTTTTATAATGCTCTCTGCTCTACAGCAGTGGGGGTCAACCTTTCTGAAAGGTGTGCCACAAGTTAAGCCCTTTCCCTTCCCTGAGTACTGCTCTGATTGATTGCAGAGGTGTCACTGATACAGTTTGTGCTGTTGGACACTGGAATGGAAGCAGGGGGCTCAAGTCTCTAGCCAAGTGGAGTAGAGTGGGGACAAGATGCTACTGTAGGAGAGATGTCACCACCAAGATTCAGTTAAACCCTTCTCTGGCCCTGCAAATGTTTTAATGGTGACTGCAGATCCAAAGCCCTCAATCAGCAGTGGCTGGGTTAAACTGGCTCTGAGCAGTGAAATCTCCTCTCGGGTACACTCCCAACCCCCATGCTATGCAGCTGAAGCCTTGAGTACCCCCCAACAATTTCCATTCCAGTGCCTCTTTTTACTTAGTATTTGAGGCTTGCATGCCACATTGTGTCACATGTGACATATGTGCTGGGGGTGGCAACCTGTGCTCTACAGCTATTATTACTCTTTTCCCTTGACAAACTCATTTCAAAAGAAATTGCCCTTTCGTTTTATTCAATAAGAACTATTAGTATAAACACATAGGTGGAAGCTTTTAACATTAAAAAAGTTTGCATACTACTAATTTCACTTGCCCCAATTCAAATATTTGTTTTATTTTTCTATTTCTGAATTGGAAAAACAGTATAGTTTACCTCCCCTCAAAAACAGGCACACACATAAAACCTTGAATGCAGTCTTATCATTTGTAGCAACTGTATTTACACCGAGACCAGTAATAAACAGTCACTGATGACAGACTTGTGTACATAAGCTCTAATTATTGTGCTAGAAAACCACATAACAATCACCTTAATTATAATAAGAGGGAAAATGGTTTGTTCCATGGGTGATGTAATTGAATAAAGTTCAGTTTCTGTCAAAATTGCATATGGATACAACTAATCATGCATTTGTGCTAGCATATCACACACATAATTGCTTGGAAAACCTCTGAAAAGCAGAAATCCAAGGGTTAAGAAGGGAAACAGAGGTTTTTACCTTGAGTGTTTTGCTGGAAGATTTTGTTCAGATCTAAGGAGGAGGCTCTGGAATGTGACTTCTGTGGCCTTGGTGGGGGAGTAGGGGGCTCTTCTCCCTTTTTCATGGCATCTTCAATAGATGTGCTAGAATACGACCTAAAGGGAAACAAAAAATAGTAAAGAAAAATAAAGTCTTTAACTTTTAAACAAATATAGTAACTATTGATCAGTGTTGCACTTTACAGTGGGAAACTCCTCCATCACGGGTGGAAAGTATAGTGTTTCATAGCTAAGGCTGAGGATATTATTGCTCTAGGTCTAGGGAGTGAAAGGATGACTTTTCAACCCACAGAACTAGTATGCCACATGTGTTCTAGCTTCAGGCTTCTCATCCTTAGCTCAGGGGGTCACATCACCTTAGCCAACAAAATAATTATAGCAACTAAGATGAATGAACATGAATCTTCTCTTTACGCTTTCTGTCCCTCACCTTCTTTATAAACTAACATGGTGGGCTCCAGCTGTCACCAGGAGTACATTAACATGTTGTCTTTCTTTTAAAGCATTTTTACTCGTTTTTATTTCTTACAATATGGCTGCATCCCACCAAGCACATTAAGAATACAGAAACGTACTCAAAGCATTGCATTGGCTGTGATCTAAATCATAATGCTTCAAATACCAGGTATTGCAAAGGGGAGTCTCTTTCAGCCTTGGGTTATGAAAGATTCTGGCAGCATAATCCAATACATGGTACTGCTGGCAATGTAAAGTCCACATAATGGGTCTTTGACAGTGTAAGGTGCCCACCTGCAAGTCCAGTTCCTGGTTTGGTAGCAGCAGCTGAGCATACCTGGACCAAAAGAAGCCCTATTAGTACACCCACCAAATATCCCTGCTGTGTGGTAGTGAAAGAGGTGGGGCACAAATGAACCTCTGGTAGAAATTAAGGCTGCCAGTTTCTTGATTCAGGGCAGCATCAGAAAAGCTGCCTGCTCTCCTCCTCTGAGATATATTGCTCTTGGGGCTCGCTGGGGAGGAACAATCTTCAGGCCCCTGAGTATGCAAGCCTGACTCAAGTCCACAGTCTTTCTGCCCTACACAGGTGGCTGTAGACATACCCCAAACTGAGGTTTCCAGGTTTGAATTATATTACATCTTTTGGTCAACTAGCTTCATTTGTTGGTAACCTGGAGGCCCAAACTGCTAATTCAATAGCAGGCTATCACGGCAAGACTTTTTGAAATTCTTTGAACATGTCTTAAATTCTCTGTTCACATTCACCCCTCACAGTTATCCACTTTCAATTCGTGATACTGCCTGTGTGTTATGCAGTGCACTTTCCAGACAGCTGTAGCAAGTTTGATTTTGCTGAGAAGAGTCCAAAATTTTTCTGCTGTTTTCTTCAGCAAGGCTCTAGGCTTTGCACAAATCAGTACTGACAACATGAGGTGTTACACTTTCTGTGATACATTATGCATGATAAGCAAGACCTAATTAAAAAACATTAAAGTAATACAACCCCCACCCACCTCCAAACCACCCTATGATAGGAAAAGGGACCAGTTTTTGCCAAATCGTTAGAAGACAACTCTTTAACAGACTGGACATTGGCAATGTTAATCTTGTATTTCTGAGGTAGCCAATAAAAATATGAATGGGAGCCAAACTTATTTCAGTCTTTACAAGTAACCTGATACATTTCCTGCTGCTTAATTTCTCACTCTGGTAAGATTTTTTTTTAATCCACCAGCCCTAATTCATTTAAGACCTGGCTCAACCCCCTTTGAAGCCCTGGAAAAGTTCCCACTATGGGCTTTGGATCAAAACTTTATGGTTTTATCTTTCAAACACATATCCTTCACAGACTGAAAGGTGAGATGCACTGAAAAAATATGTATTGTAATAAATTCATGCTGTAAAGAAGCCATAAAAGTAGCAACTAGGAGGCAAAAATGTCCCTCTCTTGGCACTGTTAAATTAGTGTACAATGGCAGACACCAGGGATTGAACTGAGGCCTTCAAGAGTTAAAAGCCTGAACCACTGTGCTTTGTTCTGAAGATCAAGGCTCCCCAGCTGACAGCTCTAAGAGACTCTCAACCTCTGTCAACCTATGCGGGGAGGAGGAGGAAAGAGACACAACACATACAGAGAGTCCTGTAGATTACACCACGCATGCAGCAGCAGTGCCAAGGGCCTCGTACAGATGTTCAGTTTCTCCTGGGAGAGTCACTGCTCTCCCAGGTTAAAACCATGAGTGTGCAGATGTGCAGGCTTTTTCTCCTAAGGTAAAAATGGCCACTCCAGGAGAAAAATAACTTGGGAACAACCAACGTTAAATCACTCCCAGGACAGTTTCTCCTTGAAGACTGAATGTCTGTACATGCCATAGCTTCTCTTAAAAGAGAATACAGTCCTTCAGCATCCCCCCTGGATAGATATATGTGTTGCTCACTGGACTCTGCTGCTCCAAAACACTCCCCACACTGTGCTGCAGGGAAACAGGATGACCATGGGCAGTCTGGGTCAGCCACTCAGGTTTCCCTGTGCACTGCTGCAATCTGTCTTTGTGAGCTGTGCATCTCCAGCCCAGCCCACCACCCTGCTCCTACGTACCCCATGATAAAAAATCCCACTGTGCCTATAATGCAGTAATTCTATGATGTGTCTAAGCAGATACTTAGATAACACCAACAAACTGAGTATTTTAAAGGCTGGAGAGCTAAGATAATAACAGATCTCCAACAGCAAGACTGACTGATAAGCTTTCACAGCACAAAACACTAACCTCATAGCCCTTCCTCCTAAGGATGCTTTACCAGTTTTTTTACAGTTATCCAAAGGGAATGTTTTACTTTATTTTCTTCTATTCACTTAACAATTCTAGTAGAATATTTCTACATACTCCTTCCCTACTCAGTATTTTTTTTCAACCCTGAACTTTTGTCCCACATACCGCAGAGCTTAGAGTACCACTGTACTGCTTTGCTGTAGAATTCCCATTAAATTCCCCTTAGGGAGTTAACTACACAATGTCTGCTACAGAGAAATCTGTTTACAGGATGTAAGAGGAACCCCCGAAACAAATACTGAACAAGCAACCATATAATTTTGTCGTCTGTAGCCTTCACTTGAATTTCAAAGTTTTTTGGTTTTTTTTAGTTTCTCCCTTTCTTTGGCTAATCTCTCCTACGGACAGAATTTTTTTAATGTCTGATTAATTATATGATTTTGTAAGAAGGAAAATCATGGGCGTTTATACACGTGTTTTGGGGGGAAGGGGAGTCTCATGTATCAGCATCCCCACACTTCAAAATCACAGCGCAGGTGCTTTAAACTCACTGAATAAACTTTAGTTAAAGCACCCTCGCCGCCATTATGAATTGTGAAGACGCCGATAAACAAGACGCTGGAGGCTGCTGTAATTACACTGTGTCAGAGCAGCCTCAGTGTTTGTGTATAGGTGCCCCATGATTACGTACCTATAACCTTAGAAAAAGAAATTAAATACTGACACAGTTAACCTGACTAGCTCAAAGATACGTGAGTATACCAAAATGTTAAACAGCTAAAACAATTTTTAACTCAGTTACACATAACATGGGCCTCCGTTTTTCTTTCCTTTGATATCTGCCTTAGAAGCTTTCATTTTTAGTATTCCATACAAATCTTCCCACAACTTGCCAATGGGCACTGTTTAGAGTGGGCTATTACTTCCATTCACAGGGCAGATCCACCTAGTCACACCTGACAGCATTACCATTATTTACATTGTCTAGATAGTGCAGTGTGGGGATTCATAGGTAGCATACAAGTGTCAGCTAGGTGAAGTCTTGAGATTGATCACCAAACAGGATGGTGACATCTCTATGACACTAATCTGGTCTACTCTTCCAGCACAATTAATAAAATGCACTTGTGTTTAACTAAACTATGGCAGAAGATAAATCAGATGGGAGGGTTTTTGTGTCAGAAATAGAAACAAAAGCAGTACCTGGATCTGGGTCTTGCTTTGAGAGTGTTCGTTTCATGAGCAACTGAAACAAAAGTTTATTTGTTAAAATATATCTGAAAAAAGGAGAAATGTTTTTTATCTACAGCATCAGGGTTAGTTTAGAATTCAGTATTACAGACATGTAGATCTGAGTGTAGGGCACTCACCTTCACACACCAATGCTTTCACTTCCCCCTTCCTAAGGTGGCTGGGTAGGTGGGTGGGTGGTAAGAATGCTTTAAAAGCCCAGATCAAGTCAGACCTTCATCCCATTTATTTAAATATAGGAGTGTAGGAACTGCCAGGTTAGGTCAGATCAGGAGCTCAAATGTACTTCAGTGTTCAGGACACAATAGTACCAATGCTAGGCACTTTAAAGGAAGGAACAAGAAACCATATACTGGAACTACATTGGATTAATCTCCCCATAGAGAAAGTGTCTTCAGGACATTTAAATACGAGATCACATCCCTTCGAAATATTTTACCCCAGCCAACGTAAGTGTGGACTCATTAGCCATATCTCTTTCTCTCTTTTTTAAAATGCAACTAGAACAAACAAATCCAATTCTTGGCTTCTGTCATCTCCTGCAGTAATGCATTGCAAAGGTTAATAATTGTTTTAAAAGTATACAATTCATTAGTTTTTAGTTTGTTGTTTTCAGTTTATCTGAATGCTCTCCATTTTTGTTTCTACAAGAAAGGGAAAAATAACAATGCTTGATTTATTTTTGCTGAGCCATTCTTTTACTTCTTCCTATTAGCTTCCTCTTCCAACTCAAATAATGTTGAGGAAATGTAACTTAGTGATTGCTTTCAAATCCAGTTCCCTGAAAGAGGAATTATACCAGTATAAAAAAATCTTAAAAGTCTCTTAAAAGTGAGCCCTTACTTTTTATTATTATTTTATTAGCTTAGACTACTAAGGAAAAGCCCACGGGGATGGGAGCAGAAAGATCCTCAGCATGTTTTTTGTTTCCTTGAGATGCTTACCCTTACAATGCTAGCAGTTTTGCCAACAGTTAGTTACCAGATAGTGATATCTGCAATTACCACAGATCTTCTTATATACAGAACAGTATATATCCAGGGTTGTAGTTGGCAAACATTGACTTTGTAATAGCTTGCATTGTACCATTGTATAGGTATATCAGGTAGGAGGCTTACAGGCACGCAGAGCACATGAAGCAGCAAATACCCTAAAGCAGATACAGAGCTATTCACATTTTCAGGATAAAAGACGCTGTCTGCTTGGGTCACACACTCTTAGAAGATATGCAAATGCAGCTGGCAGTGATTAACAGTAAGAAAAAGTATTTATAAACAAATCTCTCAGAAGATTACTGTCACCACAAACTGACTTGAAGACCTTCTGGATACCCATGTAGTCAAATCTTACTAACAACTAGAGGAAAAGAGAAGAGGAATTATCATTAAAAATGTACACTACTGATAATCCCCTTTTGTAGGTGTCAAACACCCACAGAATATAAACTTTATTATCTGCTTCCTTGTGGTCAAATGACCCAATTTTGTCAATACGGAAATTGCTGTTTATGAAATCATATGAACATTTTTGAATATCTTCTAGAAATAGAAACATTTTCTATCTATCATTCTAAGCCCTGTTTAAGAATCTTTTCTTATCCCTTTTTCTGTTAATAAAAGAATTTTGGTTGTGCTTCTTCAGAAAACCTCACAAAACTACATGAAAAAGTGACAAACTCTTCTGATGAAGTTTCCTGAGATGAACAGCAGAATATGCAAGGAAGATAGAATCCATATTTCAAATGATTTATATATTGAATAAAAGAATTACAACAATGTAACATCATGATCTAAGCAACTGAAAGTTAGGAATTCCAAAGGTAGGATTCTATGACACCTCAACTTTGGGATTAACAATTTAATCGGTTACATTTTCTTAAAATAGACAATACATGGTCTATACAAGCATTGGCTGCAGACCTCCAGAAAGTGTGCCAATAGTTTGGTCCACTTCCTCAATGAAATACATACATATACATCTGATATTCACCCATATCACACACACACACACACACACACACACACACACACACACACACACACACAAATGTCATTATGAAATTACCAATTAAATTTATTTGAACCCTGTCAATACATGCATATTTCTGCTGCAACAGATTAATATAAATAAGGTTCAGGAAACTGATAAAAAATAAAACTATTTAAGTAATTATTTTGCTCCTTCCTTCCTTTGAATCATAGAAAATTAAGGTTGGAAGGGACCTCAGCAGGTCATCTAGTCCAACCCCATGCTCAAAGTAGGACCATCCCCACTATATCATTTCAGCCAGGGCAGCGTTGAGCTGGGCTTTAAAAACCTCCAAAGATGGAGATTCCACCACCTCTAAAAGTAACCTGTTCCAGTGCTTTACCACCCTCCTAATGAGAAAGTTCTTCCAACCTAAACCTCCTTTGTTGCAGCTTGAGACCACTGCTCCTTGTTCTGCCATCTGCCACCACTGAAAACAGTTTAGCTCCATCCTCTTTGGAACCAACCTGCAGGTAGTTGAAGGCTGCTAACAAATCCCCTCTCAGTCTTCTTTTCTCCAGACTAAATAAACCCAGTTCCCTCAGCCTCTCCTTAGAAGTCATGTGCCCTCAAACCATTTTTGTTGCCCTCTGCTAGGCCCTCTCCAATTTGTCCACATCCTTTTATAGTGGGGGGCCAAAAATTGGACACAATACTTCCAGATGTGGTCTCACCAGTGCAGAATAGAGGGGAATAATTACTTCCTTCGATCTGCTGGCAACACTCCTACCGATGCAACCCAGTATGCCGTTAGCCTTCTTGGCAACAAGGGTACACTGTTGACTCATTCTTTTTATTGTCCACTGTAACCCTCAAGTCCTTTTCTGCAGAGCTGCTGCCCAGTGAGTCAGCCCCCTGCCTGTACCAGTGCATGTGACTGTTCCACCCTAAGTGCAGGACTTTGTATTTGTCCTTGTCAAACCACATTAGATTTGTTTTGGCAGGGTGCACCGATAGAGATTTTTGGGGCCAATACTGATAGCCACGTTTCAAGGAGATATATCAGCCGATACTGATCCGATTTCTGATACAGCTGCGTGCAGCTGCTAAGTCTGTTGTGGTGGAAGAGAAGGGGGGAGGGAAGGAGTGTGGGGGTGGAGGGGCAGATCAAGGTCCCTGAGGTGAGGGAGGGAGTAGGGGCTGGGAGTGGGACAGGTGCTGTACAGCTGGGCAGGGCTGGTATGGGACGGAGCCGCAGCTTGTCTGGGGAACACGGGGGGGTGGGGGCTCAGCTCTCACTGCTGTGTGCACCCCGCAGGGCATGGGAGGGGAGCTGCAGCCACCCCAAAAATCTCCATAGCCGCCCCATAGCCCCCCTCCCAGCACCACCACCACCCACCCTGCACATATCTGGGGGCACACGCCCCACGATGCTCTCCCGGACAAGCAGTGGGAGAAGCGATGGGAGCCACACTTTCCCCCTTCTTGCACCCCCCAGACACGC